TCTATCTATTCTACCTCTCTATTCTGTCTATCTATTCTCTCTATTCTATCTCTCTCTTTCTGTCTATTCTACCTCTTTATCTATTCTCTCTATTCTATCTCTCTCTTTCTATCTATTCTACCTCTATCTATTCTATCTATCTATTCTATCTCTCTCTTTCTCTCTATCCTATCTCTCTTTCTCTATCTATTCTATCCATCTATTCTATCTATCTCTCTTTCTCTCTATCTATTCTACCTCTTTCTCTATTCTTTCTATCTATCTATCTCTTTCTCTCTCTCTCTCTATTTTACCTCTCTTTCTCTATCTATCTATTCCAGGGATCTTCAAATTTGACAGCTTTAAGACTTGTGGACTTCAACTTCCCAGAATTCCTCCTCCAGTCATGTCAGCTGAGGAATTCTGGGAGTTGAAGTCCACAAGTCCTGAACTTGGCCAAGTTTGAAGACCCTTGGCTTAAAGCATTTGGCCAGGGTTGGGGGCACCAAGTCCATGGTTGGTGGTTTCTAATTTTACAGTCTCGGATGAACACACTTATCCTGGTGAGGAAATCCCTGTGAAAGGGAAGAATTCTGGTTGATCCATTCTCACCAATCTGCTTCATTTCTTTATTTAGGAGAAGCTTCAACCGGGTCACGATTCGGTTCCTCTCTGGGGTATCCATGTTCTGACAACCGGCCCGCAGTGCCAGGAGGTATAATGCCAGCTCTCCTGTCCCAGGTTTCTTCCGGGGGCTGAGCTCAGAAGGCATCCTAGAGTTGATAAGGCAAGAGACCAGATGACAGATTAACAGAGTTGGAAGGGATCTTGTAGGTCATCTAATCCAGAGGTGGGATTCAGCCGGTTCGGACCAGTTCTGGAGAACCTGCTTTCCAGCTCCGTTGTGGATGTCTGGGTTGCGATTCGACAGCACCTACCTACTGCTTTGAGGCTGAAAGACGTCTGTCAGTCGGTTGAGATACTCCCTTTCCTTCTCCAGGTTATGCTGGCTGGAGAGTCGAAGGGCCAAATAGAGGCTGGGGTTTGGCTCCTGGGACCCATCTCCCGCCACCTTTAGGAGCTCCGAATTCAGGGTCTGGATGAGCTCAAGGGCTCCTGCAGGGATTTCTGCCAGAGAAGGAGAGAATAAGCAGGATTTGAGACTGGGAACAAGGCTCCTACTCATTGCAGATAATCCTCGAGTTACGACAGTTTGTTTAATGACCACTCAAAGTTACAACGGCACCGGGGGGGAAAAACGGCACTAAAAAAATTGGACTCAGGAGCGTTTTTCAGCTGGGACTCGATGGGAGGTGGAGAAGAGATGGGGTTCGCGGGGCCAGTCAGAGGTGGGATTGGCCGGTTCTCCCAACGACTCCAAATTTCCGCTACCGGTTCTCTAGAACCGGTCCGAACCAGCTGAATACCACCTCTGGTGTGAACCCAAACAATCCATTTTCACAGCCACTTCCTGACAATCTTGATCATAAAGAAAAACAAATAAGCAGACTTACCGCACAGCTGGGCTGACGCAAACAGGAGGTGGAAGAGGAAAAGGAAGGGAAGTCGGAGCCACGGAAAAACCATCCCGACGGAGACCAAGGCAGGAAAACGGCGTGGCCTGTCCCAAGCAGCCTTCTCTTCAGGAATGCCAGATTACTGATCACCTCAAGGAGTGGTTCGGGGCATCACGGCATCCTCTCCAAGTCTGACAAAAGAGAAAGGACTTTAGCCAAGTCGGAGGAAAAGCAGCGACACGAGAGACTCCAGGGGACTTTGGCACCCTTTATCATGTTTTGATCTCTGGGTTTTGCATTTGGAAGAGATTTCTTTTCAGGTGGGGAGGGGGAGTAGAACTCCTTAGCATCAGAGCATGTTAATAATAATAATAATAATAATAATAATAATAATAATAATAATAATAATAATATAGGAAATACTCTAAATGCTCTGATGGTCATTTGGAAAAATCCTTTCTTCGTGAGCCCCTAGAAGCCAAGAGGAACATATGTGCCAAATTTCAAGTTTGTAGGCTTTACGGTTCTGGAGATTTTCTGATGATGCGTGAGGGGTCTTTCGCTTTTATATATTTATAGGTAGGTAGGTAGGTAGGTGGATAGATGGATGGATGGATGGATGGATGGATAGATAGATAGATAGATAGATAGAAAGATAGATAGATAGATAGATAGATAGATAGATAGATAGATAGATAGATAGATAGATAGATAGATAGATAGATATGATAGATGGATATAATATAGATATAATAGATAGATCTAATAGATATTATAGATAGATATGATAGATGATAGATAGATAGATAGATAGATAGATAGATAGATAGATAGATAGATATAATAGATAGATAGATATAATAGATAGCTATAATAGATATAATTGATGATAGATAGATAGACAGACAGACAGATAGATATGATAGATAGAATAGATAGATAGATAGATAGAATCTTTTGCACCTCAATCTTCTTTTACTGAAAGTTACTTTGCGAGAGAATCTTCTTTACCAAAGACAAATTCCTTGTGTGTCCAATCACACTTGGCCAATAAGAATTCTATTCTATTCTATTCTATTCTATTCTATTCTATTCTATTCTATTCTATTCTATTCTATTCTATTAGGAGAAAAAAACAGAAAAAATGAGGCTGCCTCTTCCTTCCTCTTCAATCTGCTTCCTCACCCAACAAAGGCAATATTTCTCCAGAAATAAGTCCAGCGGAAATCCAATGGGACAGAATTTTTGTATTTTTAAAAACAGACAGATAATGCAGCCATCTCAGATCTGGCTCTTTTCATGCTTCCTGGGAAAATTCCTCCTGTAGCCCCACATGCCTGGAGGGCAGCAGGGTGGGTAAAACTTCAGCATTCTGACCATGGGCTTCCTTGATGCATCTTACCTTAATTGTACCGGTTGTTGATTCCTTCCTACGGAGTCTTCTTTTGAATTCTCAGAAGGAGCCAGAAGCTGCATTGAAGAGAGAGAGCCTCTTTCCCTGGACTCCTTGTTTACTCTTTGTCATACGATCTCAATCTCCGGTTTCCCCTCCCAGCTGCTGAAGTCAGCTTTTTTTTTGTACAGGATGTGGCTTCAAAGAAAAAAGAAAGTTGAGAAACCAGGGCAGGGATCTGGAACGAGGGGCAGCGGACAAGTGTGTTGGACGAGTTGTGCCAGACCGAATAAGAGCATTGAAATAATAAATCGGCGATGGTTGGATTTCCCACCAGGGAAAGCACAAAAGCTACAGGAATAGAGCGATCTGCGCATTCAGTATTTTGTTTCCTTTTTTTAAAGCTAGAATCTCAATTATCCCTGAACCAAAGTCACTTTTAAAATAGGGTTGGTTTGTTTTTTAAACCAAGGTTTTTGTGACGTCCCTTATAACTGCTGAATGTGATTCACGATCAAGCCACAATCTAACTTTAATGTCGGAAAGCTCATTGTGGATACATTTGTGAGGCCAGTTTTGATTTAAATATCAAAAACAGGCTTATGAATGTAAATGCTATGAGCTTTCATAATTACAGTTCAGAAATACGGGATCTGACATATCTGTGAATAAAACACGGGTAATGTATTTTGTTCTTGAGCTGTTTTATGAAGTAATCTTTATCTCATCATTTTTTTCACTCATGTATGTTAGACTTTTAAAAGAATAAATTAAAAATTAAAAGATAAATTAGTGGCTATTTATCATGATGTTCATACACTTTTTTGAAGTGTTACAACAAAACCACTGCTTGTTTTCTAAGCCACAAGGGCAACACACTTATCTGTAAACAATAGTTTCCAAACCCAAATATTTATGTTCCTACACTAGAACAAAATGTATTGCATGACGGCTCAGGGAAAAAAATGCAGATGAGCCCAAGGCAAGCAGGTTTGAATACAGAATTTGTGTTTCTATTTTTAAAATATTTTCATTCTTAAAATAATAAAGTACAAAGAAAAAGGGGTTCCCATCGGATAGTAACAGTGTGCACACTACGCATGCGTTCACTGTACTTTATTCATAGTTTTGGCTTAGTGATACTTGTGACTACTATGACTTGGTTATGGTTAAAACTAATGGTGGTTTAGGATGATGTGAATCAGAACTTTGCCGGATACTCTTAATTCAGGAAGGGATAGAGAACGGCTTGTTGTTGGCTTTCCCGGTAAGTACTGAACTAATTGAGGCACAATTTGGATTTCTCTTTCATTCTTTCTGGTTCTTTGTTTCCTTCTGGTTCTTTCTTTCTTTCTTTTTCTTTCTTTCTGGTTTGTTTATTCTTTCTTTCTGATTTGTTTTCTTTCTGGTTCATTCTTTCTTTTTAGCTCATTCATTCATTCATTCTGGTTTGTTCTTTATTTTCTTTCTGGTTGGTTCGTTCTTTCTGGTTCTTCTTTTCTTTCTTTCTTTCTTTCTGGTTCTTCCTTTCTTTCCTTTCTTCCTCTTTTCCTATTCTTTCTCTTTTCTTTCTCCGTTTCCTTTCCTTTCCTCCCTTCCCCTCCCCTCCTCCTTCCCCTCTCTCTTCCTTCCTGCCTTCCTTCTGTATCTCCATGAAAATTTCAAGGTCTTTCTTGAGCGATATCATTATTTACACACTCCCGTCCTGCCCTTAAGCCAAGCCCAGCAAGCCAGCAGCTCTGAATAGAATTTTTTTTCATTCTATTCTATTTTCCCCTTCTATTAAGAAGCCAGTCTGAAGCCTCCTGCAGGGGGCAGCAGAGAGACGCGGGGGGGGGGGGGGGACGCGGCTTCGTGCGCCTCCTCTTTATCACGGAGAGCCAAACCCCATCATGCTCTCCCCAGAGAGGACCCTTCTCCAGAGGACCCCTCTCCGGCCGTCTAATTTAGTGCCTGCCCAGAAACAGAGGCCTCTGGAACAGCATTTGGCGGCGTGCTCCAAACCACGAAACGCCTCGCATCCTCCTATCCCGCGAAGTCCACATCCGTCCGCTCCTGTGATCATAGCGGCCCCTCCGGATTCCCGTTCAGGCACTAACGTGGACACCCTCCCAGGAGGAAGGGGCGGGGCTTCCCGAGGGCGGAAGGGGCGGGGCTTGGGCCGACCAGGAAGCATCTGCACCACCACGTGGGCCGAAGTCGGAGGGGGAGAAACGGCCGGGCAGCCACGATGGGCGGCCTGGAGAAAAAGAAGGTACTGCGCGGTCTTCCGCTCAGCGGGGTCACGGCGGCTGTAACGCCCGTCCTGAAAAGCGTCCGAGGTTCTCTTTTTCTTTCCACGTGCATTTGAAAGAACGTCCGAACGCAGACGCGCCACTTCCGGGTTTGGACTCCTCCGACACGCATCTTGCGAGTCGCCCACTGGCGGGTCTCCGCTTCGGCGGGACTCTGTCCCGTCCAAGCAGAGCAAAATGCTCCGGGGAAGATGGGGCCGAGGGTCGAGCCTCCTCGCTCAGGAGCAGTCTACCCTTAAATGCCAGGGAGCCAGAGCCTCCCTCCAGGGCTTTGGAAGTGGCCTCTCGCCTTGCGAGGCCTCGGTCCATAAGTTTTGGGAGGTCTCCAGGGAGGTGGTGAGCAAGACACCTGTTTGGGGAGTTTTGCCCCGTTTTACGACCTTTTTGCCACCGTTAAGTGAGTCACTGGGGATCTGAAGCGAGTAAAGGCAGTCGTTGAGGGAAGCTGGCTTCCCCGTTGACTTGGCTGGGCAGAAGGTCGCAAAAGAGGAATCACACAACCCAGGGACGCTCCAACTGTCAAAAGTACGAGTCAGTGGACAAGCGTCTGGATTTTGGTCACAAGGATGCTGCAGTGGTCCCATGCATGAAAATGCGGTTGGGAGTCCCTTTTTTCCCCGGTGGCGGTTGTAACTTCGAACTTCAAAAGTGAATCAATGCAAATGTTACTAAGACAGTTGCTAAGTGAATCCAGCTTCTCCATTGGCTTGTCAGACGGTCGCAGAAGGGGACCACGTGACCTTGGGTACACCGCAACCGTCATAAGTATGAGTCAGTTGCCAAACATTTGAATTTTGATCACGTGACTGTGGAGATGCTACAATGGTTGTAAGTGTGAAAAGCGGTTGTCGGTCACTTTTTTTCACTGATGTTGCGATTTTGAACAGTCGCTAAATGAACTGTTGTTAGTTGAGGATTATGTTTTGACCAAGGCTTCTGAGACCGTAATTACGCACACGCTTACTTTAAAAACCAGTCTTGTTTTATTGCAACACTGGGAATTATTTTCATTCCCAGCTGAGAATGAATCTCAAACAGTCCCCGGAGATAAGCACCCACCTTTCTTTCCCGTGAAGGGCTGCCAATAACAGAATGAACTAGAGAAAAAAGCCAAGTGGATTACAAAGAGCTTCAAGAATGAATCTGAACCGAAGGCACTGTTTTGCTTCCTGCAAAGGTTTCTCTACCTTTGCCTGTCCTTTATCCCTTAGGGGAGGAGCAATCATCTCCCAGTGTTACTCCGGAGTCGCCCATTCTGTCTCAGCTGCTCTCGCCTTCTGACAGCTCTGTGCACATGCACACTGGGAACAGGCTCCCCTTGCTCCTCTTCCTCGCTGCTGCCAGATTCCAGAGGCTCTGGAGTCAGCACCCCACTCCCAGATAGTCCTGGCCCCATCTCCGCATCGGACGGAGGACCCTCCGAGTCCTCCCCAGACTCCCGGGTTGGTCCCTTGATTACCTGTAAGAGAGAGCTCCTTCTGAAGTGCTTTCCGTTCAGCCTCAGGTTGCCTCTTTATCTGACCACTGCCTACTCTGTGACTCCTCTTCTTGCCCTCTCACCCAAGGATCTCACAGATCATCAATCCTTGGGGAGCCTTTTCGCCTGGCACTTTCCAGCTGGGCAAACATGCCAACCGAGGAGCTGCAGCATATCTGGAAGGCTCCACATCCAGCCTCCTGTAGTAAGGGAATAGTTACTTGCAGGCAAGAGATAATTAACTACATTGTCTCTCTTTTTCCTTGGCCGTCTACGAAAGTACGAGAGAGGTTCCGCCACCAATTATATCACCAGAAATAAAGCTCGGAAGAAACTGCAGCTCAGCCTTCCAGACTTCAGGTATGGCAAAGATACTGAGTGGTCTGCCGTAGGTGTCACTTGCTCTGTGCAGTGATGCTTTGGTAGGGATGGAGTAGAAACTGATGGAGGTGGTGGTGATGAGGTGGGGAAAATGTGGAGACCGAAAAATATTGGGTAAGGATCAGGTGATGGTTGAGTTCACACAACATGCTTGGCAAAAGCATGTTTTAATTATTTATTAAATGTATATGCTTGTCCAGCCTCTTCTTAAAAACTTCAGTGTTGGAGCATCCACAACTTCTGGAGGCAAGTTGTTCCACTGATGAATTTTCTCACTTTCAGGAAATTTCTCCTTAGTTCTAAAATAGCTTCTCTCCTTGATTAGTTTCCACCCGTTGCTTCTTGTCCTGCTTTTCAGGTGCTTTGGGTAATAGATTGACCCCCTCTTCTCTGTGGCAACCCCTGATGTGCTGCCCACTTCACTATCCAAAAGTTTGCAGGATATGTAAATCCATTATTCAGAGTTTCATTTGGTTGTTGAGTTTTGGCGGCTACTGCCACCCCCAAGTTAACGGTGGAATCACAAGTTTCCCCATCTTTAAATGTGAAGCCAGCCAAGACTTTTAAGGTAGCAGGTGAACAAGTTGAATCAGGCCCAGATTCTCTCCCCTTCAGACGATAAGAATGAACTTTGGAAAACTTGAGTATTTCAAAAGGAATTCTTTATTGAAAAGGAAAAGATCCCAGGTGATGTTCAAAGCAGGGTCTGATATCCCTCCAGGCATGTAGCTTAGATAAAGGGAATTAGAACCCCTCCCCTTAGTCCAGTGTGGATTTCGTCAATACAATGAAGCAACATGTTAATCCCCCCCCCACACACACACACTTTTTCTGGGAACGTAGTTGAGAAAAGTTTCCCAAGAAGTTTCTTTCAGAGCTGGAGTTTTTATGGCCCCTTCTCCTCTTGCTATCTCTCCAAGAGGTGACAAGTTTCCAGGCATCTGGGCTCCAGTCCCCCAGTTGTATATCATGTGCAGGTTATACAGATTCAATACAAGAATTAAGATATTCAGGTTATATCAAAAAGGATTGCTTGTATCAACACCCATAAAAGAATGGCAGATACATGGATCTGACACCATCTTCTCTCCCTTTTTTTTCTTTTCTTTTTCAGGCGACTCTGTATCCTCAAAGGGATTTATCCCCATGAGCCCAAACACAAGAAGAAGGTGAACAAGGGTTCAACAGCTGCCCGGACGTTCTACCTTTTGAAAGACATAAAGTTTCTTCTCCATGAGCCCATTGTCAACAAATTCCGGGACTACAAGGTATCCCAATTGTGAGAGAGCCTGGAACTAATTAAAAGCTGCAGATGAACCTCTGGGTATAACAGTCACTTTGGATGGGGCAGGTGGGCGTTTGGCACTTTTCAAAAACTGCTCTTCTGCCACTTACCCAGAAGTTGGGATGCTTCCGCTTCCTGTGTTAATGATTTGATCGACGTCGTTTTCACTTAAACCCGGTGTGTCAGTGTCAAAGTTAATTTAAGACCGTTTGATCCAGCCCCCCAAAATGATTAAAGTTGCTAGCGTTCTGGGTGAGAAGTTAAACCATTTGGTATCTGTGAAATAGAGTATTTCTAATACGGTATTTTTATAAAGTATTTTTAATGCGGTCAAAAGAGAAATGAAAAAAAAAATACATAAAAAATATATGCTTAGTATAAAAGGAAGAAAGAAAAAGACCAAAGTCTCAGTGTCTCCTTGTTGCAGAAGAGGAAGGATAGCTGGCCAGACCCTTAGAATTATGGTCTGGATACGGGTAAGTGTGGAGCTGTAAAATGTTTCTCTCCCCAAGGTGTTTGTCCGCAAATTGCGTAAAGCATACGGGAAGAGCGAATGGAACACAGTGCAGCGCCTCAAAGACAACAAGCCAACTTACAAGTTGGATCACATCATCAAAGAGAGGTAATAGTTGAAGGCCCTCAAGATCAGTAAACTGCCAAGGGTTTGGAGGGGGAATGAGGAGTTTTCAAATGATTCCGAATTCTAGTGTTGCGGTTATGTTTAGACTTGGCTATCCAGTTCTTTCAGAAAAACCTGGTTGCACAACAGATCTGGAGCAATTCCTGTTGGCAGGTTAAGCCCTAAGAGCAGGAAGCCACAATGATGCTTGCAACTTCTTTCCCACAAGTGTCAGGGGGCAGTTGGTTCTTTGAACTTGTCCTGTTCTTTTGATGGCTGCAGATACCCAACCTTCGTGGACGCCCTGCGGGATTTGGACGATGCCCTCTCCATGTGCGTTCTATTTTCTACCTTCCCACGCACCGGCAAGTGCCATGTCCAAACCATCCAGCTGTGTCGTCGGCTGACCGTGGAGTTCCTTAACTACGTTGTCGCCTCGCGCGGTCTTCGCAAGGTGAGCTGGGAAGAGGCCTCTCCTTGGAGACGCCGAAGCTGATCGGTTTCCCTCGGATCAATACATGCCAAGAGAAGAAGTCAGCAAAGGAGCTGTTGGCCCACTGATGGCGTACCTACGACACGCGTTTCCAAGCTGACGTGCCATGATGTTTTGAGCATCACGCCATCGTTTCCCAACAACTATTTTTATAGAATTCTTTTTTTAAAAAAATATTTTTTTTCGGTTTTCCACATTTTTTTAAAAAAAAAAAAACATCTTTTTTCAGTGAACAGCATGATTCCAACAGACATGTCTTTAATCACACATTTATCTTTCACATTCAGTTTCATACCTTACCTCTACTTTACGTATTTTCTATTATTTTTCTCAAATACTTTCCTCAGGCTTATTTTATCATTTTTCAATAGATTTCTTAACCTATTTCTGTTATGGCAACTATTAAAACAGGCATAGGAATGTTTTATGAGTTGACAAATATATTATTCCTATTTACTACAATCTTCCTTCTATGCTGCTTTTTGAGACTGGAGGCCATGCGTGAATGGCGTGCGCCCTTGTGCAGCTTCCCAAAGTCAACACTAGAGGGCCGGGCTCCTGTGTGGCCTCTGGAGCAGTGGTCCCCAACCTTTTTGACGCCGCGGCCCGGTACCGGCATCAGCTGGGCACCGCCATCTTTTTTTGATGAAAACGTGCTTCCGGTGAGCTTTCTACCCGGAAAAGCTCACCGGAAGCACTTTTTCATGAAAAAAAGATGGCGGCGCCCAGCAAGCCAGCGGCCCGGTAGGAGTTGTTCCGCAGATCGGGACCGGTCCGCGGACCGGTGGTTGGGGACCCCTGCTCTGGAGCACTCAAAAGCCGCAGGTTTTGTGAGGTTTTGGGAGGTCACAGGTTCCCCGAAGCCACTTCCAAGAACCAAGGCGTTGGAGAAGGCACGGGCAGGCTGCAGAGCCTGGCAACCGAACCTGGAAGAAAGTGGCATGTGGCCAATGCATGATCGGATTGTTTTTTTTGTTTTTTTAAATAAGTGACTATGTAAAGAATTGTTTCTGTTTTGTTCAGGGGGAAAGGGTGACATGCCAGCAGAGTTAAGCATTTTCTGAATTGTTGATACACTGAGCCCCAAAGATTTAACCAACTCTCATAGTAGTTATTTCTTTCCTGTCTACAGTTTTGTTTTCCTGGCTGAGTTTGTTTTTCCCTGCTTTTCCACAGGTCTTTCTCTCCATTAAGGGCATCTATTACCAGGCTGAGGTGCTGGGCCAGCTTATCACCTGGATAACACCCTATGCCTTTTCCCACAACGTGAGTAAGAGGGTTGTTTTAACATCGTTGGACACGGATAAGTTTCTCTCCGCTCCTGCTCCCCTGTCAGGACCCTGTCCTTAACGAAATAAATTGCAGCCCTGATCATTCAAGATGGAGGGCTGAGTGCAGACAAGCGTCGCTGAATGAATCCAGTGCTGATCGTTCGTGCTCAGGACAGCTTTAATGTAGCCTGCGTGAAATGTGCGGTTTGATTCCAGAAATAGTTTTGGCTCCCTCCATCACACCTGACTTTTAAGATGAAAAAGTCACTCATTTTTTTCCCCATCCTTCGCTTCAGCCTTCGTTGATATTTTCTGCATCAGTTTGCAAATCGAGTTGCAAGAAATAAGATACTTTGGACAAGGGCTAGCAGAGGAAGCTTACAGCAAAAGCCAACGCAGTCCTTAGGTGGCATTAACAGAGGGACAGAACCAAGGTCATGAGAAGTGATACTATCGCTTTATAATGCCTTGGTAATAAAGCCACTCTTGGAATCCTGCATCCAGTTCTGGTCATCACAATAGAAATAAGATGTTGAGACTCTAGAAAGAGTGCAGAGAAGAGCAACCAAGATGATTAGGGGACTGGAGGCTAAAACGTACGAAGAACGGTTGCAGGAACTGGGTATGTCTAGTTTAATGAAAAGAAGGATTAGGGGAGACATGATAACAGTCTTCCAATGTTTGAGGGGCTGCCACATAGAAGAGGGAGTCAAGCTACTCTCCAAAGCATCTAAAGGCAGGATAAGAAGCAATAGATGGAAACTAATCAAGGAGAGAAGCAACCTGGAATTAAAGAGAAATTTCTTGGCAGAACAATTAATCCGTGGAACGAGTTGCCTCCAAAAGTTGTGGGTGCTCCATCACTTAAGGTCTTCAAGAAGAGATTGTACAAATATTTGTCAGAAATGGTATAGGATCTTCTGCTTGAGCTGGAGGTTGGACTTAAAGTCTCTTCCAACTCTGTTATGTACCTGAACAGCATTAGGCTTTCTTAACCAGACAGCAGGTCCCTTTCTGTAGTTGGCGTGCCGAACTCTCTTGCTTGGTGTTGTGTTCTTGTGAGAAGGAAATCATTAACTTTTTGAAATAAAAAACCAAGGTGAAAATGGCAATTAACAATTAACTCCAAGCATGGAGCTTCATTGTTAGGAGCTGTTTGTCCAGTTGGTTGGACACAGAGCATTGTCTTCACAAGCATTCCTTTCTTTTTTTTTTTTTTAAAGTTATATTTTGCTTCTTAATAATTACCAACGCAGGTATCCCTTCTTGTGCCTGCAAGGTCTCTTTTTCCATTGATTGTAATGTGATAAATCTTGATTTATTTTATTGCATCAGCTCAGGTTCGCAAACAAACCAAGTCCCTTCCACGGGAATGCAGGCAGCATGGGAAATCATGGCCCCTCTGCACGTGCTCTCCCTGTACTTATTTCAAACCAGCTGGATACCCCTGCTTCTCTACGAAACTATGTGATCGGGCTTAGTTTTTTGGGGGGGGAAATAAGGGGGAAAAATTCTGCCTCTGCCTACCAGCATCCATCAGTATTCATCTGGCTAGCATCCTGTCCGTATGTCAGAGTTGAGGGCTGTTTGGAAACTGATACAGTATTTGCTGTGTGAGCAAGGAGGAGACAGCAAGGAGCCTGGACATGGCTTAGCTCAGCTGTTCTGTACTAAAGCTGCTTGGTGCTGTGAAACTAAAACTGCAACTCCTCTCCTCTGCTTGTGTTTTGCATTTGGAACAGATTTCTTTCCAGGTGGGGAGGGGGAGTAGAACTCCTTAGCATCAGAGCGTGTTAATAATAATAATAATATACAAAATGCTAACGCTCTGATGGTCATTTCAAAAAATCCTTTCTTGGTGAGCCCCTAGAAGCCAAGAGGAACATATGTGCCAAATTTAAAGTTTGTAGGCTTTACGGTTCTGGAGATTTTGTGATGATGCGTGAGTGGCATTTCGCTTTTATATATATAGATTCCTTTTTAATATTAAGCCATTCCCAACACTTCCTTTTAACACTTCCTATTTACAGAAAAATAGAACTGGGAGTTAAAAAAAATTTTTTTTAACTTTCTGCAGATTGATTGATTGATTGATTGACTGGCTCACTTTCTTCCAGCACCCGACCGATGTGGATTATAGAGTCATGGCTACTTTCACCGAATTCTACACCACCCTCCTTGGCTTTGTCAATTTTCGCCTCTACCAGACACTGAACTTACACTATCCCCCAAAGGTGAGTGAAACAGACAAGCCACTGAGAAAGGCCAGCTTGTATCTTCTTAACTTCCCCAGTTAGAGAGAGAGAAAAACAGAGATGGCCTTTGGGAAAAAAAATAGGCAGAGCCATTGACAAAACACTATTGACGCCCAAGGAAGGGAGAAGGAATTGGAAACTCAAAGTGACCCAGCTCTTTGGTACAGTGGTCCTTCAGGACAGGTAGTCCTCAACTTATGGCCAAAAGTGAGCCCCACATTTCTGTTGCTAAGTAAGATGTTAAGTTAGCCACCCAGTTGTTAAGTGAATGTGTTCTATTTTGTTTTGTTCTGTTCGTCACTTCTTCCAGGGCCGTTACTACTTCATACAGTCAGGGGTCTCCCTGTAATCAATTCCAACTTCCTTTTTTTAAATATTAAGCCATAGCCAACGCTTCATTTTTTAAAAAAAATGAAAATATTCCCCGCAAAATTTGCAAGGTTCTGGGACTGTAACCTTAAAATTAACGGTAAGGTTTATTCCTCATGGTTCAGTTTGGGTGGCCTCTCTGGACTGCCTCAAGGAGTTGACCTCCCCGTGTCCTGTGGGGGGAAACAGGGTCACAGGTGACCGTAAATCACGTGGTTGTCGGAGTTGGCTTCATACGGGTTCAATGCCAACATGTTGCTCCTCATAAACCTTTTGGATTCTTTTGAAACTTGGCTTGAGGCTCGTGATTTAATTCGGGCAATCGCCGGAACCCTGACAGTCTGTTCTTTTAGATCGAAGGCCATTCCTCAGCAGAGAGCAAGCCAGAGGAGGGAGAACCGTATGCCTTGGACTCCGAGAGCACCTTGGAGGTGAGAATGTGGGTGCCCAATCCCGTCCTTCCAAATTTTCCTCCACGTCCTTCCTTAAGAAACCACCGCAGTCTCTATATTCAGTATTTCTCGACCTTGGGAGCTTGGAGATGTGTGGGCTTCAACTCCCAGAATTCCCCAGCCAGCGTGTTTCAACTCGGGGAATCTACATTAAAGTGTGTGCTTCACTTAAAGTGACTTGGATCAAGTCTCCCGTTAATTCTCTTTTCTTCTCTCTCCCCCCCACCCCAATTAGAAACTGTCAGCTCTCAGCACCAGCCTGGCTCGAGTCGTTGCCCCCAACATAGAAGATGAAGCCGAAGCGGATGAGTTTCCCGTGGAAGGAGTGAGTGGCACCCTTTTTTTTTTGGAGTCAGAGGAAAATGCCTTCCAAGAGACAGGATGTTGGGGAGACTGGGCCGGTCCAGGTGGAGTGGATAAGGCTGGAGAACCTCTTATCCTTACTTTGAGATAGTTTATGGCTCAGAAAATGTCTCCCGAGCTCAAGAAAGGAAGATTGTGATTCTTCCAAGAAGATTACTGTTCCAAACCTATAGACAGAATCTTGCCAAACCGAAACAGACTTGTTACGCGCACGAAGCCTGCTCTGGGGAACTGTTAGGAAGAGGCTGTCTTCGCCCTCTTTCTCTCACACAAACTCTCTGAACTTGTTTGCCTCCGACTCCTCCGGAATGCACCTCCTTCCCTTCTGGGAATCCAGACTACATTCCATCGCACCAAATTAAATTCACAAAGGCCTGAGATTTTGTTGCCTTTTTTTTTTAACCTTTCCAACATGGAGAAGGGGGTTGATGGAGCTTTTTTTTCTCTCTCTCTGCTAGGAGACTGCAGAACAAGAGGAGTCCAGGAGGAAGGAGGAAGAAGACTTGGAGAAACAGAAGAAGCTCTTCGAAGGGCTGCAGTTCTTTCTCAACAGGGAGGTGCCTCGCGAACCCTTAGCTTTTGTCATCAGGTATGTTAAGTCTTTGCCTTTGTTTCATCAGCTCTGTTCTAGAATTTGGGCCAGGGTTGGACCAGTGCTGGGTTGCTCTGCAGCCCTTTTGAGTGGTGGGCCATGTTTAGGTCTTTGTTGAGTGAGCCTCCTGCAAGAATCTCCACCAAGAGGCCACTGGACTTTCTTGATCTTTGAAGGCATTAGTTGTGCCTTCTTTGTAAATTCTGTGTAAATTTGTGCCTTCTTTGTCAATTCAGCTCTGAGTTAGTTGTGTGCCTTTTTTATAAATAAATTCTGTGACCTGTTCCAATACTTCCGTTGGTATTGAGCTGAAGAAGCTTCTTGGATGAGAAACGAAATGCCTTCAAGGAAAAAAACAACAACCAGGAAGTCCAGTTGCCTGTTGAAAACAAAAAAAGCACCTTTGGGATAACCATGAGTTGGAGGACTGAGAATCTCCATAGACTTCTCCCCACTCTGGCTATCGAAAGGTAAAATGTTCCTCGAAATTTTTTCGCTTAACCATACAGCTTGGAAAGAGGCATCTCTTGGGATGTCCGTGGAGACTCTCAACCATCCAGGTCATGAGTGTCCCCAAGGTGCTTTTTCCAACAATACAAACACTCTCTTTTAAATTGTAACCTAATGTGCATTTGTGTCAGGATTCCGGCACTTAACCCCCAATTAAATCACAAGTCTCGAGCCAAACTTCCAAAGCTTCACAAGGATTTATTGGGAGTTAACATGTCCGGCACTGCCTGGGTGTAGCTGACACATCATTCATTGTCACCGTTGACCCTGGTTTTCTCCCACCCCCTGGGTGTATCCTAATTCATATTCTCCAATGGGACACCTCCATAGCCCAGAGTCATCAATCATCTTCTCCAGTTGGAATTGTGCCCGGCATAAACTTCAGTCGCCTAGTTACTATCTTTGAAAAACTATTTATGGAATGCACTTTCGGTTTCCAAGCTGCCGCCCTGCTCCCCCCTCCCTTTCTGTTGGCCACTCTAAAAAGACCATAGAAATATTTTATGAGTTGACAACTTGAATGTAGAACCTGTCACTAGAACTGGCTGAACCCCACCTCTCCTTCGCCAGGTGCTTTGGGGGCAAAGTGTCCTGGGACACGTCACTCTGCATTGGCGCCACCTACGATGTTACGGATCCACGCATCACCCACCAGATAGTTGACCGTCCAAATGTAGAGATGCAAGTGGTTGGAAGGTGAGAGCTGCTCTTTGATAGTCAGAAAACAGACATAGAATTTTAAGGGGCCGTGCTGTGAATGCCACAAAAGTCCGAGTGAATTCACTCCTATCTTGTTCATCTTCGTGAGATCTTGGCTAATAGGAGGACCTGGAGGCTCATGAATGGAGCTTGTAAAATCGTCCTCACCTTACAACAGTTCGTTTAGTGACCATTTAAAGTGAGAGTGGCACCGAAAAAGTGACTTATGGCTGTTTTTCTTACATTATGATCATTGCAGCACACACACACCCCCGATCAAAATTCAGGCACTTGGCAACTGACTTGTATTTATGACGGTTGCAGTGTCCTGGGGGTCATGGGATCCCCTTTGCTAACCTTCGGCGGGGGAAACCAGATCCGCTTAACAACTGCGGGGTTTCACTTAGCAACTGTGGCCAGAAAGGTCGTAAAATGGGGCAAACCTCACTTCGCAACGGTCTCGACTGCAGAAACGTTGGGTTCAGTTGTGCTCATAAGCAATAGCACTTAGACTTATATACCGCTTTATAGTGCTTTTACAGCCCTCTCTAAGCGGTTTACAGAGTCAGCCTCTTGCCCCCAACAATCTGGCTCCTCATTTTAC